CAAACCGATTCCAAACGTGCAGCCTTCTTTACGAAGTTCCGCAAATCACTCGCCGTATTTTCTTGTGGCAATATAAATACACGAATATTAATTAACATTTGATATCATGACCGTATCGTTATAAAATTTTAGCCGGCTAATTCTTTTTAATATTTCTCACATCCAGTTTTTGGAAAATACCTAATGTTGCGGTGCCTGGGCAAAAGTTACAATGTCCTTGTCTGACTCCTCAAATTGTTATTCTGCTATTCTGCATGCAAATTCAATGACGCTGTTCTAGCTGTCTTTTTTGACAGCTTCTAAAACATTACAGCTAGTTCAAAGCGTAAATGAGCATGCATTCATTACATTTTCCTTCAATTTATTTAAAGTAGGGGTTGGAAACTTGCATCTACGGAGCTGCATGCGGTCCCTTAAGGACTGCTTCGTGGCGACCGACACTATAATTACAAAGTAAAAAAAAACTTCCTAATTATTTTCGATGAACGGTGAACGTCTAAAAGTGTGCCGTTCTTAAAATACGGTTTGATGTTTGTTTTTTACCGAATTATAAGAAAATGGCTTTTCTTGTTAGTTTGGTTTGCCGAACCCTAATTTAACGCAATATCAGTGTCAGTACTCATGCTTGGTGTTCATGTCATGTAAGAATTTTCACGCGGAATTGTGCATACACGGTTGTGGACGTTTTCAATCGATACTTTATAGTGCAAGATCGCACGTGTACGCAATTACAACAGTATGTTCTGTGCTAGGCTCTGTAACCCAGTAGATTTACGCAAATCGTATTGCATTACTCTTTGTCTGTATCGTAAATTGGTGTAATCACTGCAATAAATGATTCTCATGAGCAACGTCATCGTACATTTGGAATACACCAATGCAAATACAGTACGTGACTGTACACATTGTACTTTGAATAAACCAATGCACAGTCCTTTGCGTGCGTATTGTAGTAAATACAGGTATCCCGCGATTTACGACCGTTCGATTTAGAAAATTTTGCGTGAACGCAAATTGACAAATTCAGGACACTTTTTGATTAACGAAATGGAAATTTTACACGGCATGCTCCCCGTGAGATTAAACGAGAAGTCACGCGGAACGCTGCGTCGTCACTCATCCGCCACAGCGTTCACGGTGTCCCTGCAGTGCAACAGTCATTCCTACATGCAGCAGATCTTGTTTGGTTGAGGTTCCCTGAAAAGGTTAATTATTTTTCCACTAAATTAATTGTTATGCAATCGTTATTAATGTTTTTATTTTTGTGTTGTGAAAAGCGATGAGGTGGATATTTTTTAGGCTCGGAGTCGAGTTGTAATGACAGGTCCGAAACACATCCCGAATTATTTTGTCTTGAATTAACAGGAAAAGCCATTCCGATTTACGAAATTTAGTTTTAAGAGTGTTTTTGAAGAACAGATCCGTTTCGTCAATCGAGACATACTTGTAGTTATATTATCGTAAAGTAGTTTGTAGATTGAACTAGTGGGAGTACCCGGTCATTGAGCGGACCCCCCCCCCTCCCCCCAATCTCCATTGTAGAGTATTTAGATTATTTTTCTGCCATAAGCCACTTTGTTGAGCTATCATTTGTGGCTAGGTCGCTTTAAAAAATCAGTTAATATCTCAGTGGGCTTTACCTGGAATTTGTTTTATTTGTATATGTTTTGAAGTGATCTGTTTACCTTTCCTATACTTTGGATTCCAGCCAATTAGAACGCTGGGAAATGACAATAGCAAGCAGACTGTGGCGCTGTTGTTTGTACTCTGTACATGATGATGACGTGCTATGAAGAAACGTCAAACTCAGCATTACCAATATGTTTTGATGATTGGGTTACAGATTCACTCTCAACATCTTTCATCCCCTGTAGACCTGCCTGTATACCCACATACAAACACCTCCTCACATCCACGCACACCAGAGCTCTCCACACACACATGCACGTCTCTACACAATGTTGGGTCCTCCATATAAAGTAACTACCCAAAGGCTCACACACACATACCCACATACTGCATACAAATATATCTACACACCAATTTCCGTGAACTCGTAAGCTAAGGTACACACAATGATACGCGCTGAAATGTACACAGCCCCTGAACATACTTTTTGGGGCAAGTGCTGTTAGCGAGCACCTATGAAGGTCGCACTCATTACATGCAAAATGCTTGCCACAAATGAACCACGAAACCTTGCTTATATCATAAACAATCACCCAAACTCCGGTCATCCTCGCAAAAACTTTTGGATAACCATCGAACAAAAACAGTCACTGCATCCAGTGGCGTCACTAGGGTTGGTGTTACCCAGTGCAGTAACTCATGGTGTCATTCCCCATGGACCTCCTCCCGTACCAGACCATACAGAATCCTTAGTAATGTGTTTGTACTAATATTACTCGTAAATCGTAATTCCCGTGTATCACTGAATGTAATGGCAATAGTAGTGACATAAACTAGTACAATTAAAATTACACCTTTAAATTACAATATCATACGTACAGCCTAAATGCATTTACTTTAAAATAGTTTCAAGTGGTTAAAGTGAATATTCAGAAAAACAATAGAATTCGAAGTAAAAAAGTAAAAACATTTAAGAACTACATTAAAATCAGATATATTTGCAAGACAGTGATGTTTTTAAAGAAAATTAAAAAGACTAAACATTTAAAAGAATGAATTTAAGATTTAAGTTATATTTCTAAACATGTATCAAGAAACATAGCATTTCCCCCCACTTCATGTTTTAAATTGTCAATTTCTTTATTTAGTTATCAAACAGTTATATAATCAATAATTGTTCTACATGTACGTTTATTGTCAAATTTAATCATAGAATAATGTGATATAGTTGTAAATTGCTTAATTGTAATATTTCTTAGATTATATGAATACTAACAAAATTTATTGTAAAATCTTTAAACATTAAATTACAACATTATTAGTTCCAACATTATTCGTAACGGAGCGGAAGCCTTTTTAGATTTTTCTCCTTCTTTTCCTTTACTTACTACTTAAATCTCAAAAAAGTTATTCATATAGGCTCACAAATATTACTTAGCACAACATTGTAGCTAAAACACCAGAAAATTTGACAAAATCAGCGACGATAAAAACACGAGTAGCGACGAACACAACAGCGCGTGCTTGTAGCGCGTGCAGACGAAACCACGTGACTCGAAGCGTCACTGGAGTTGGGTAACAATGACAGCTCTGACCGGAGGGCTTTAGAAGGTTCAAAAAGTAAATTAGCATAGAGTTTTAGCCTTGTAGGTATATTGATACAGTACATGTAAGCTGGGCTTACCAAAAATATTTTTGTTATTATAACTAACTACAAGGATTTTTTTAATATATAAAAACAAATTATGCTGAAAGATTGCACAACATTTTATAGACAGTCATTTTGGTCATAATATAAATTGTTTTTGGGTTAGATCGCGTTATTTATAAATGTGTCGTAACCCTCCACCACCCGACACGGCCAAACAGTAAAAAATGTGTCACGTTAACAAGTGACAAATAGTTCACTACTTTAGCCCACCGGTGTGTTGAAAAGTGAATCCACAGCATGTACAATATTTGAGTACGAATTGCCCGATGATGCTGGATGTAATTACCAGCGAAACGTCGTACTCAAAAATTGTAAATGATGTTGATTCACTCAACACACCGGTGGGATAATGTAGTGAGCTATTTGTCCTTTGTAAACGTGATACATTTTTTTTTACTGTTTGGCCGTGTCGGGTGGTGGAGGGTTACGACACATTCATAAATAACGCGATCTAACCCAAACACCTTCATTATGAATAATATTGGTCACGAAAGCCTACGAGTAATTTTGGTGTCAGCCCCATCTGATGGTGTCACCCGGTGCGGTCCACACCCCCTAGTGACGCCACTGACTGCATCGCGCGCTTTCAGATGCCCTTCTGTGGCCGTCTGGAACGCTCTTCCTTGCGATATTAAGAAACCACTGGACCTATGCACTTTCAAAATGTAAATTTAAATACATTTATTTAGAACTGCTTTTTGTGTTTAGTTTGTTATCCTTTCCCCGCACCTCCGATAAGCACGGTTGGCTGCATAGGGTGCTAAAGAAGTTCAACATACATACATACACACGACGGGGTGGGTGGCCAACACCACGCCCTGTCATTTTTGTCTCCCCTAAGGGCGATGTTCACACACAGCACCAGGTATTTATTTGAGGCTGAGTCGACCTAAGGGATGCCCAGGACCGGTTCAGATAATCGTCACTCACTGGTGTTGGCCGTGAGCGGGAATCGAACCCGGGTCGCCGGGTTCGTAGCGCTAACCACTGCGCCACCGCTCCCCATACACAACATCACACAGACACACAAGCCCACACACAATTTGTATTGCACACACATGCCTTCACACACGCTCAAGACCACACATTAACCACACAAAGGCCTACAAGCACATAAAACGACAAAGGGCGCCCGTGTAACCTACATAAGCTGTTGGCGAGGGAGGAGATGTGGCAAGCACCACGCCCGGCCGCCTTTGTCTCTCCCAAGTACTGACATTTACACAGCCCCACGTATTAATTTAAGGAATCTGTTCTGGGCCTCTCCTGGGTCTACGATAATAACAGCAATAGCCGCTATTCGCCACTAGTTCGAAGCGACGTCTACACGGCGCATGTACCAGGCTAGGTGCACTTCGAGGCTATCACGTACAGTGTGAAATGCCCGATCGCTCGCTAGCAGGTCACGGGACAGACCTAGGTGTTATAGGTTAACAATCGCGTACAAAGATAAACACACACATAGCTCAAACGCAGAGCAGACCACACACATACACAGTGTCGGCTGTGATTTGTTTGAGTTGCCCATAGCAACGTGGTGGGTGGGAGTGGGGGGAGGACGCTCGGTCGCGGTTACATAGCAACAGTTGCTAGGCGATTGGGACGGCTCCGGGCGATACCAAGTGAACCAGAACAACCCCCCCCCCACCCACCCCCGTTCTATGGGCTGGAAAATACGAAATGCTAAGGGTCCGAGCAATGCGCGTGATTTAATTAACTTTAAAAAAAACTTAACAAGTAGAGAACGTATCTATAAATTAGTCTGCTGTTTTCTTTTAACGTTATTGTTGAGATTTGCGTGTGTGCGATAGTCTCACTTGGTATCGTCCCGCTCGCTCAGCTGTTCGTACGCATGAGCACGTGGAACTGACTCCTGCTTAAGCTCGTTAGATTTATAAACTTGGTGTCGTTAACTTTAAATTAAACGTTAATTTAAACGATTACTTTCATTATTTTCGGTCCGTTATAGGTGAGGAATGTCAACTACGCACCCGTCTAATGTACAGGTACGGTAAGATAAACAAAAGTGTGCACGTGAGTTTTAAAATTTACAGCGTTTCATACTTTGCACTTATGCATTCTTTAACACCAGCCATGCCAAATTTATTGAGCGTTGTCACTCGCATAATATACGAATAATAATACAAAGTATTCATCCACTGCTGTATGAAAACTGGCCATTGTTGGGCATTGCGGGTAGGCGAAGTGAGCTTAAAGTCTGGCGAAGCTCTTAGCAGTGTTAACTTTGCGAAGAGGCCGAGTGTGAGAGCAACATTTAACAAACATAAACACGGTGTAGTATAGTTTTAGTTCAATTTAGTTCGTAATGTTCGAACGACCCTTCTTTTAATTATCTGCGGATTATGATTGTGTTCTTCTCACCTCCGAATAGCACGGTTGGCTACGTCCGGTGCGAAAGAAGTTCAACATACGTACATCTGTATGGGATATTCCTCCCACGTGTAAACACTCATGAATTGTCCGCGAACATCTTAATATATAGAGAACCGTAGAGTTTGAGCAATTGTTGGTGCCGGATCGTCATGTGGCTTGTCGCCTTTTTGTGGTCCTCTGCATAGACATCTTCAAACGCGTTTTGAAGATTTCGTGACTGCAGGAATCCATACTCTTTGGTTCTTTCGGTAAAGTCACGTAGGTAGGAAATTAATAGATCGTCCTGAAGACGGTCGCTTGTGTTGCGATCTAAACGTCGTGATCTATTAATTTTCTATCTACGTGACTTTACCGAAAGAACCAAATAGTATCTTCAAGCGCGTTTTGAGTTATCTGGCTTATCTTTTATTTCCCAAATAATGTTAGAGTTGAGTGTATTCAATGTTTTGTCTTGCAGCTTCCTCCCTTTTCACATCTGCCCACTTCATTGTGTCCTTTGTGGGTTTAGTAAATTATCTTTGCTCTTTTCACCTTGCTCTACACTTTCCGTGCACTACACATTAATGTGCCAGTAATTGCATTACGCTCAATAGATGTTCGCTTCTACTTTCTCACTCCCAATCCCAAATGTACCATCATCCTCTCGTCACCGCTCCTTTCACCGATCTTTACATGAGCACGGTTAGCCACGTAAGAAGTTCAACACACATGCGCACAAATTCACCCATTACATTGTTGAAATGTGATTTGCCCTCACTGAGAAATGTGTTCATTTATTCATGCATTTGGTTCAATTGTGCATGTTTGTGTCTTGTTGTTGGAGCCCATATTTAAATTATATTAACTAGTCTAGTTTTGTGAGCCATAATGTTAACTGTATCAACTCTGTTGGATGTACGTATTTGCATATTTGTTTATATGTACACATTTGCATATGTGTTTATACTAATTGGTAACGTTTTGAGAGCCTCTGGTTCACTGGGCAACTCTATCCGATGTACTCTTACTTGCAAAAAACTCGATAATTGATTACCTGAGAGACTTAAGAGGAAAATAATGGTCCTACTTGGGGTTTAATTTCAGCAGGAGCTGTTTGGGGCTGTGCTCTGGAAAAAAAATATATCCCTGCCCTCCCCTTCCTTGAACCTGGAGTTGGAGGTCTACAGTAAAACATCCTCAATAAATAAAAACTTAATCCCCGGTCCTACTACATAATCCGCAAAACAAACCCAAGCACATGGCTTAAACGTTTTTACAACCATGTCGTTCCACAGGTTTCCAAAGGGTCAGCATTTGGGAATGGAGAAACACCAAGCAATATTGGTTCCATACCATCCCAGTCATCCTCCCACGCTGGATTCTCAGAGCTGTACAAGGTAATTGCTGCATCCGCCTTGTTTCACGCAGCTATAACAATAAATACATCGGCAATATTTCATTAATAGTATTTTCATTATTGCACCATGTTGTAGTCAGGGATGTGTCTTTGCTGTGAAATTCATATTTGCTCGTGTAATGGTAATAATTTTTCACAGTTCATTATATTATATTAAATAATCAAGTGGCTTGTCTGGATTTTGTTGGTTTATTTCCTGAAATTATTCCGTAAGATGGAAAAAATGTGGACATATATAAAATATAAATACATCTATGCGCATAAGCAGGACGGTGAATATTTCTGCCGTTGTATCTAATTTTCGCTCTTGCTGCCACTGAAACGTTCGAGTTTGAAGTAATTAACTGCAGTATTTTGACATGTTGCAATTGTTAAAGCACGAGCCCTGACTATTCATGAGTTATTTTTTTGCTTTCCCGGTAATGAAATGGAAAAAAAAATTGCGAACAAAAAACAATCCAGTTTGCCGCACATGTAGAAATATCTCGAGCAATAAACACAAGTGGTTATTTTTTTTTAAACTTAGGAATTAAGGCACTTACCATGGTGTAAACATTCGCACATTGGACTTGTAATCCAGAGGTTGACGGTCTTCTGTCACGGCATTTTAAACAGTAGGTGCAAGTTTATTCAATCCTGCGGAGTAATCGCCCCCCACCTCTACCGATGATGGTACCTAAAACCACCTGATCCAATTGCCAGTGCGACTATAGCTGCTTCTGCACGAGGTAATCCCAAGAAACTGAAGCGAAATACAGAGGGGGCCTGCGACCGAAACCCAATAAACTGAAGAAAATCATAAGATAAGACAGAATCCAATAAATTGAGTGACAAACCTGAAAAATTCGTGGCAAGTTGTTAACTACCTCGCCTGGTATGCAGGAGGTCCTCGGTTCAATCTCGACCCTGACGCCTGCGGTATATTTGGAGTTTGCATGTTCTCCCTGTGGTTGCATGGAATTGTCTCCAGGTCCTCCGTTTCCCCCCCCCCTCCCCCCACATTTAGAAACATGCGTTTTTGAGTATTTGGCTGCTATAAATGTCCGCACGATATGCCACTTCATTGGTCTATCATTTGTGGCCAGGTCGCTTCTGAAAAAGATCTATAATAAAAAATAAACGCGTGACAGTTTAGTTTATTATCAGCCCCCCGTAACGTCTTGTAATTCTTGTAACTGAAGAGAAACTCCCCCCCCCCCCCCAAAAAAAAATCGACACTGCTTGAAGAGAACCACAAGGTGGCGGTGTCGGATTCTGGCCAATTCTTTCTTCTTTGGGAAGCCCTTGACTGAGTTCACACGCGAGGCCGCCTTGAAAGAAAAACCTTGGAGGGACAGATTCGATTGTGAGGGCCCATTCAGTAACGCTGGACTCACAGGTGTGCTGTGCCATTGGCACGGAGAAGCTCCCTGGCGCCCGAGGCGTCCAATTGAATCGCGCACACGGTCGCTGCTGCTGGCAGGGTCCGTGGTGTCGCAGCAGTTGGAACGCGTGAGAACACCCTGTTACACATCGTACGAGGTGTCGGTGTTGTTTGAAGCACTGCCGAGTCGAATTGTTGTTAGATTTAAAATGTCGTGAGTTGCGTACTCGTCTTTCTTTGTAACAGTTCTTATGAGATCTGTTGAGTACCGCAGCAGATCTTTGCTGGGTTCTTGGCCAGTCAACAAAAAGGTTTCGATTGAAAGCTTTCGTGACTGCAAGGATTCATCTTCTTTGGTTCTTTCGGTAAAGTCACGTAGAATGAGAATAAAATAATAAATTGATAAAATAAAATAACACAATAATATTCTCACGACGTTTCGGCCACAACACAAGCGGCCTTCATCAGGTGAAGGGACGAGACTATTTTATCAATTTATTATTTTATTCTCATTCTACGTCACTTTACCGAAAGAACCAAAGAAGAACAAAAGGTTTATTTTGTTTAACCGGGTGACAACTGAGGAGACCTGGAGAATATATTTTGCAGGCGTGATTTAGGTCACCACATTGACGGCAGAGGAGCGAAGTGCAGCGATTGTAGGTGGTCAGCCAGCTCCAGACAACGTACGACAGTGCCACCGCAACTTCTCTCAGTGTAGGCCATAGCCTGCTTGCAGGTCTTTAGTACTATCAAATATAGTCTCTGCAGTAGTCCAGTATCGCACAGTTGCATTTTTATCGAGAAATGCATCCTCAAGTGGTGGTTGAGGCAGTGCTCTCCCAGGTGATGGAGAGGAGGAGGAGGAGGTGGTGGTCCCTTTGGCAATGGTCATGGTCCCAATAACGAACCTGATGGTCTCAGTGGTCCTGGTGATGTTTGCAGTGGTCATAGTGGTACTCTTCGTGGTGGTTGTTTTGGCCATGATGGTAGATAAGTGTGGATAATAAGATTCATTAATGTGTTGACAGTATGATTTTCTATGGATATATTTGATTGCACAGATACTAGAAAGAGTGGGTAATTGGGAGACAACTACGTTTCAATATTTTTACAGTGCATGGAAGTTATTTGAATAACGCTTAGATCGTGTTAATATTTGCGTATTTTTTTGTTACTACTTTATTTGAAAGTTTGCCCACTAGCCAATACAGCCACGTTTATGTGGTTAACCAGGTGTGAGAACTCAAGAGATCAGAATGAGTCTCATTTGCAAGAGTCACCCGTGGTCACCAAGATGAGCAGAGCAAAACAATGACAATCAACAACAATAATGAAGCAAATAGAAATCGCCGCAAAACACCCGGCGCACGTAACGTGGGGAAATCGCAATATTTGCACAAACATGAAGATTTGTTTTCATGTTCATCACAGTACAATTATTTATAAGTTACAGAAACATTAAACAGATTTATACGGTGACTATTGTACTAATTTGTAAACAGACAAGGATAAATGTCGAATATGATTGCAATACCTAATGCTGAGACAAGAAAGCTGAAAAGGTATTTTTTTAAATGTTATAAGCTTCTAAATTTTCACAAAATTATGACTGCACTAAATATGCGTAATTTCCTATAGTGTTAATGAAATCATCGGCGAGGCATTCTCAGCCTGTGTTTAAATGAGCATTTGTTCATACTTTCATATTGTGAGCTCTCCTTCATAATACATTTTCACAAAAATGGTGATTGTTTAGTTATAAAAAGACAAACATTCCCCATATAGCCGTAACAGACTGTTAGGGCAAGTGCTGTTAGCGAGCACCTATGAAGGCCGGCACGGCATATGAGGGGGTGGGTGGCCAGCACCACGCCCGGCAGTCTTTGTCTCCCCAGTGGCGGTGCTTACACCACCGAACCAGGTGCTCATTTGAGGCTGGGTCGACCTAGGGGAGGCCCAAGACCAGTTCAGATAATTGCCACTGGTGTTGGCCGTGAGCAGAAATTGAACTCGAGTCGCAGGGTTTGTAGGGCAGAAAGCTCACCGCTTAAACAACACACACACACTGGTTTGGGATTTATTCTGTTTTAATGGATATAATACCACCGAGGCATTTTCTGGCTATGTTTCTAAGCAGCCTGAGAGCTCTTTGTTGAAAAGGCACTCTAGCTTTTGCAGCGATGCAAACAGTACAATGGAGCAGATGGGTTCTGTAGAAAAGTAATATGTTTGCAAAACTAACACAGCTTTTCTGAAGCATCCCATTAATCCCGGTACGTGACATTTTGGCTGTACAGCAAACGTATAAGTGCCACTTTTGTATATCAGACATCCACTATAAAGCTTTAAAGATTCCCAGATCAATTCGGGGCACATTTAGAGCATGAATTTGGTTTATTTTTGTGTTTAATTTTGAAACCCATGTACATACATGTATTCATGTTGTGTACTCGTTTATGTCATAATTTCAAGTGGATGAATTGAAAACACAATAAGCAGAAAGCGTATCTTTTGGAAAATCGACATTATTACATTTTATAACGCATTTACATTTCACGTATTTACCAAACGTCGTCTCTTAACGACTTACACTTCTTCTACGTTGCATGGCGTTAATGAACTGAGCTGCAGACGATGATTCATATTGTAATCAAGAAGTGCCACCTAAACGTGTCACTTGTGTGCTCTCGTAACATCATAATACGAATAGTTTCTACGTCATTCATAAATTGGGTTGTTACACAGCATATTTACGTTATGTATTATATTAATGACTGCCATAGTTGAATTGTGAGCAAAAATTGTGAACGTTCAAAGGGAAACGTCACGGTGATTGGTCAAGTGCCGAAGCCAACTGTAGTGCTCTTGTTTTATCATGAATACCCTGGCTTTAGTAACGCTTTGCACTCCTATCCTCAGACCCCAAACGGAAGTTGCTACAGAGCCATTCGTAATGCCCAAGAGCATAGCAACGGCCTTCTGGTCTTTTTTGTACTCTCACAACAATCTTGGCAACCATTTCACCTTACGCATTACAGTTGTAATGTGCTTACAGTTTGTTAATATTGCTGAATGTAAAATATCTGCAGTGCACGTTCACATTCTGGCACACAACACATTGCTTGGTATGTTCTGAATTGACCAGGTAAATTGTAAACAAATTATTCGATGTTGCACTGGTAGTGGTACATATGCACAATTAATAAACAAAACAACTCAACATACTCATCAACAACGCTGTGGCCTTAAAAGAAGAAAATGTATAATTGGTGAAATTTCGGGCAATGGCCCTTCTTTATAGCACATAAACAGGCCAGAGAGAGGGTAAAAAAGGGTTGGATATTGCGCTTAACATCAACAATTGGTTACTGCTTACTGGTATTGAATCCAAAATCAGAGTTTTGAAAATGACCCACAGCTACAATAAATGGATGTATTGGCTGTTACACCGGTACAGCATAACACACCGGTCCTCATAAAACCGTCTAAAATCTAAATGTTTTAAACGACATTCGTCTAACGACTGCTTCGACATCACGATAACTGATTTTGATGCACCACCACCCCGCAAGATTTTCTGACCGGGGTTGCGAATCATGGGAAAATAAATCACT